AAGAGAATCTTGAATGGGACAGTTGAGAGATACATTAGAAGCATGGAAATACCAAATGAAAATAAAAAAATCTTGAATAGGACAACTGAAAGATTCATGAGAGGCATGGAAACATGACAAGTTTATGTTTTCACAATAACTTTGTATCTCGAAAATAATTAATAACCTAATATGAGTTAAGATCATTTAAGCTCCAGTGCATTCCGTGTCATTTTTCTGTGTTTTATGGTCGTTATAGAGTGAAGGATTTGAGGGCTGAATAATATGATATATGATAGTTATGCGTCAATATGAAACAATTATACAGCTCGTTGCAAGTCCAATATTCGCAGTGAAAAAATTAACTTATTAATGAGCGATATGAAAAATTTAATAAATTTTCATAGTAAAGTGGAAAAGAAAAATATTTCACAAAACTACCATATACACTTCTGACTATAGCCAACTTATTTTAGATAAACCTTAGAAACATTTCTGACTATAGCCATAACCAACTTATTTTAGATTAGCCACACATAATAAATAAATTAACAACCATAATACGCAAGGAGTTAACTTAGAGCTTCACCCCTTCTTAATCCACTCAATAAAATCATTGAAATTCTCATGAGAGTTCCCTCTCCCAACACTATCCAAGGTTTTCCCCTTAAGATCCAAAGCTCTCTCCTTAAACCCCTCATCACCCAAAACCCTTTCCAACTTCTCCTTAATCTCCCCACGCCCTACAATCCCACTCTCATCTTTCCTCAACCTCAACCCAATCTTCCACTCGTCGCAAATATACGACTCGTTCATAAACTGGTCCGAAAAATACGGCCAGCACACAAACGGCACTCCACCGCACGCAACCCCCTCGACCGTCGAGTTCCACCCGCAGTGGCTCACGAAGCACCCGACCGACGGGTGGGACAAAACCTCCTGCTGTGGGGCCCACCGGACTACCATATTCCCTCGCTCCTCGACCCTCTCCCAAAAGCTTTCGCCCTCCTCTTCTCTAGTAGTATGGGTACTCATCACGTCCTGCCTAACCACCCACAAAAACGGCCTCCCCGTGAGCTCGAGTCCGAGCGCCAGCTCGCGGAGCTGTTCTCCACCCAACACTGCGAAACTGCCGAACGCGACGTACACGACTGAGCCGGTCGGGTGGCGGTCGAGCCACGCCAGGCAGGCGGGGTCATCGGGCCACAAGTGGCCAGCCTGCTTCCCAAGACGGCCACTTGCCAGGAGTGGGCCCACGGGCTTTAGGGATGGATAGGCCCGGAATACACCGGGCTCGAGATTAATGGACGAGTTGCAAATCTGCCGGTGTGTTAGTTTGAGTGAAGAGTGGATCTTGCTGACCATGTCGTAAATGACTTTCTGCGTGGCCTCGTCACCGACTGATGCCCATATGAAGTTCGAGGAGTGCACGAGCGGCGTGTCGGGCGCCAACTCAACCATTGGCTTCTTCAAGATTTTTCCTGAAAATTAATTAATCAAGAGTTAAAAGTGTGACATGAAGTCTTTTTTCGCGTAAAATGCAACATATGGTACTACACGAAATTTATGTATCTCAACATCTATCGAGAAATGAAGTAAAAATAATTATTGAAAAATCAACGATGAGAAAAGAAAATTCACAAGATGTAATCACGTTTTTGGCTTCATTCTCTTTTTATAGTTCCACAAAAATGACAATTATTATCTTTTTAAAAGGCACATGATATTACCACTTTTGACTTTTGCAACCTAAAATAGTCTTTTTTTGTGAAGCACAACCTGAAATTCACCAATATTTGAGGTTATCTTGACCACAAAATCATTCAGAAAAATCACGAATGTTGCAAATTATGGATTTTAGTGAACTTCATATTGCACTAATTTACCCAAAAGAAAAAAAAAATTAATAATTTTACGTTGTAAAATCCAAAACCCCACATAATAATATGTTGCAAAATTTCTTTTTCCTTTGATGAGATTATATATTAATTATAACAGCATCCTTTTTCATCCATTTGATGAAATTTGGAATGAAAGTAAAAATAAACAGAAATAGATTTAGACATTAATTAATTACCATTACTGTCTATTATCTCATCTCTCACTAACTTGGGTATGCTCAAAAACGAAGCCAACGAAACCGCAGAAGCCGGCCAGAAGGCAGCTCTTTTGAGGCCCATTTTCTCCGCCACCTGTGGGGCCCACGTAACCGTGCCATCGGCAATAACACAGCTCACATTATTATCTCCTTCTTCACGGTTCAATTTCTCGACGAGGGACTCGAGCTCTCCCTGCATCACTCCGTAGAGCCCTCTCGTCAGCTTCAGCAAATCTTTCCTGTCCTCCCACGGCTCGAGCCCGTCCGGAATCGAGACCATGTTCACCACTTTCCGAATGTCACAATCCGGGTCGGGTCGCAATGAATTCATGACCCGTTTGTGATTGAATTCGGAGTTGACGAACGTGACTTTAATCCCCTGCTTCGCTAGCCACTGGGAAAGCTCCAGCATCGGGAGCACGTGGCCCTGGGCCGGGTAAGGGATGACGAGCACGTGTGGGTTTTCTATTTTTGTGGTCATGTTGAGGTTTTTTGTGTTGGTGCTTTTCAATATTGTTGTTAATTTTTTTCAGCGTGATTTTAATGGAGTTTGGCATATGAGGTTTGCTGCTGTATATGTAATAATAATGAGTGAGATTTGCACGCATCGATCGTGATGACGTCATTTTGATAGTATTTTTTTCTCAATAATTGTATAAGATTTCCAACTTTCCATCCAATACATATATAAAAATAAAATTCATAAATGGTCCATTAATTTAGTCGATATTCACGAATGACGAATGATGTGTTGTATAGGCCTGTCATGGTATCATTTAATTTAACTAGACTATATTATGTTGGCAATTTAATCACAAATGATGCAAAATGTTGATGTGGCAGGGTCAAACAATTTTTTTTCTTAATTACTAATTAATGAACTAAATACTAATAAAAATATTAAGAAAAATGATACATTGTCAACTCAGTGTACAACTAGGTTGACACACATGAACACATTCACTTGTCTATTTTTTTTTTTTTGTAGATATTATTACTTGTGTTATTAATCTATTTGTACACTAAATTGGCAATGAATGTAGTATTTTTCAAATATTAAACTTACATATATGGTTCAATAACTTGTCAAATCATTTAACTTGGTTTGTCATATTGGTATTTTCATAATGAATGATTTCAATCATCAAATCTAACAGCATATTGTGATAATGGTCGAACATGGTATATATAATGTATTAGAATATTCACTTGTGAGTTGTTCCACATCGTTTATATAGAGAAAATATGTCTAATTTATAAGTTTAATGGCTACTCTTCTTTTTACCAATTGGTTTTCGGATGAAATTTCATCTGGGCTTTCCCTGTTGGTATGTTTCATCTGCGTGGGACGGCACCCGTTTCTTACATAATGAATGCTTGATATGGATGATAAAAATAATAATAATAATAATAATAATAATCGTTAATACATGGACTAAATGTATAAAAACATTAAAGAAAAAAAGTTAGAGACGCACTCATACAACCTCAATCACACACTCATGTCATTCACTCTTCTAAAAATCGGCCTAGGCGGTGCTCGGGCATCTCCGATTTGTACAACTCGGCAGAAAAAATCGGCCAGACGGCTAGGCGGCGCCTAGGCGGGCTCGGCGGCCAGGTGGTTAGGCGGGCGTAGGCGGACCTAGGCGCTCCTAGGCGGGCTCGGCGGCAATTTTTTAATTTTTTTATTTTTTTAAATACTAATTACATTATTTGTTCTCATGTTTTCTTTAATTAATATATATTAGCATTATTATTTGGACTTTAGTGTGTGAATTTATTATAAGTTGAGATAGTTTTATTTTGTAGGTAGGTAAAATAAATAAAAAATAAAGTATTTAATATTGATTTTTGGGTCCGACTAGGCGCCGCCTAGGCCCCGACTAGACGTTCTAGGCGCTAGGCGTTGGTGGAGCGCCTAGTGGGCACCTAGCGACTTTTAGAAGACTGATGTCATTAGAACTAGTTAGAACTTGGAGTTTCGCTTATTCCATTCCATGCCTATTCAAGAAGACTTCTATTGACGTTAGAAGAGCGAATAATAGGAAATTTTTTATCATCTCATGTGAGCATTTATTATGCAGCATTAGATCATTAATGGACTAAGGTTAGTTTATGACAAGTTGGTGGACTATATATGAAATGTTTCTTTTTCTTTTTTATCAATATCTAATTCATTAATTATTGGTAACTAAAAAAAGAAAATAATGAAAATAAATTATATATATTAATCCTGCCTCATCAACATATTGCACCAATTATGACTAAAATGACAACATAATGGATCAAATTTAATGATAGACTAATATAACGGTACAATATTTATGTGTTTCAAATTAGTGGACTTTGTGAATTTTTTTATTTTTTCAAAATATACTGTTTAACTCATTTTTATCAATATACTATCAACATATATACATGGGACGTCTATGAAAATATCTCGGTCCCCTTATAGTGCCATCAATTTCTTTTGTACCAGGTGACTATTCATTTGGCTCACCAAAAACGTGAGCAAGTCCTTTCATGTTCACTACCCTTTTTCCAATGCATGCCCTTTGTTTACTTTCTCATATGTACATTATCTTTTGCACTATTGCACAAACAATTTAGGACCACTGGTTAAGACTAAATCATATCCAATCACACAAAGAAATATCATGACCATATGATATGGAAACTTGCCTCCATTCTTGCTTCTCATTCACCTTTCCTAGCTAAACACATATATGTCTTTGTCCACATTCCCTCAAAAGAATTACAGCCTTTCATACATTATCCAAGAAAATTTGAGGCAATCTTCCACTCTAATTGAGCGCGTATTTGTTAGAAAATCAGTTAAAAAGAATGGCATTGCCCGGACTTCGATTGGATTTTTTATGAGTGAAATTTAACTTGTGCGGAATTAAATCGTATAAGAGTATTCTCCATTTTGAGTGGATGTTCAGAGCTTATTTAGTGCTCAAAATTGATCTTCGATGAGCGAGAAATGAACTTTTAAAGTGAGCTATATTTAACTAGACTTTCTTGTGAGAAGTTGAAAGGGCTAAGAAACTTATTCACTCATTTGAGTCAATTCTTAATAGGATTGAACATTATTTTTTAATATTCCGGCCAGCTCGTTTGGGCTCAGTTCAGGTCCGTGTCTTGGATGTTGAACCTTGATAATTGAATTTTTTGAGTTGAAAATGTTGATCTTGGACGGGCTAAGGTAGTATTGAACTTTAATCATGGGCCTAATCCATTATACTGCTTTGGGCCTTAGTCTACAACTAAGAACCCACCACTCATGCATATACATTGGTTTGTTTGTGCTCATTGTTTTCAGCTCCATTCAAGTTTATGGAAGCACTAAATGCAATTGTGCTGTAGCTCAAGAGACGTAGTTGTACTATTTTTAGAGTTGTATACCTTTTGTATATTCTTTGGGCCTTGGAGGAAAGATGCCGAAAGCTCATTAATTTTGTCCTTAATTTTGATTTCCATGACTTTCTCCACATTTTCCTCCAGTTGAGCTGGCTTCTCATACATAGTTGCAGTTGGATATACTTTTATTTGAGTGAAAAAAATAAAATAAAATCTTGGTGAAAAAAAATTAGTTGAAGAATCACTGATTTTTTAATGTAAACCGATGTTATATAAAGAATAATGATTAAAATAGTAAAATAATGATTAACAATTATAAATATTTGAAAGAAATGAATAGTAAATTCGACAAATAAGTGTGTACTAATGTTTTGTTTTTAATTTATAAATTGTACTGAAAATTTGAGTGAGTGAAGTAGAGAAGTGAAATGAATGAAAATTGAAAAGTACATTTTCTTTTTCCAATAAATGGGTGACATAAAGAGATGGCAATGATATCCAATTGCACTTTTTTTTGTTTCCTCTGCACAAGACTTCCCTGAAAACTTGTCATTTTTCTCCAAACTCCACATATATCTGTCCTTTTTTTCCCCAGATATTAATGGGACAATTCTCTTCAGCTTTAGAGAGAATTAAAATGGGATGTAGCTCAAATTATCTCTAGCCTTTTCTCCTCAATTTGAAGTTTTTTCATATGTTACAATGAATTCTTGATTAATGAATGAGAACAGAACAGCAGTCTTTTGTCTACCAGTCCATACAGACAATAAACACAAGTCACATACAAAATACAAATGTAAACAGCAGTAAAACTTCCATCTTTCACTTCTTCTTCCCTGCTTTCCCCTCTTTCCTCCTAACAATCTCATCCGCATATTTCACACCTTTGCCCTTGTACGGCTCGGGAGGCCTCCACTTCCTAATCGAGGCCGCAAATTGACCAATCGCAGACTTGTCATGTCCGCTAACTGTAATTCTCGTGTTTTCTTCAACCTTCACCTGCAAGCCATCCGGGATTGCCATTCTAACCGGGTGTGAAAAACCGAGATTGAGAACTATGTCTTTTCCCTCGACCATGGCACGATAACCAGTGCCCACCAGCTGAAGTTTCTTTTCGAACCCTTTGGAAACTCCCACCACCATATTGTCAGTCAGGGTCCTTACAAAAACGACACGATTTGTGGTTTAGAGAGGAAAAAAAAGGACTCGATGAAGGGAAAAAGGCATTACAAGAATATTTTCGGCTCGTTTTTGTGTTTGGCAATTGACTTAAACTAAAGTGGACAAGCGAGATTCAGAAGATCTCGGTTTCCATCTGGGTTGTTTGAGTCAACGGTTGAAATCACAGCTTTGAAATACATTATTCTTGAAATTACGAAAAATTAAAATCAAATCATATTGCGAAAATTGCTGTACATTACACCACAAGTGCAGTAGTTATAAATCAACACAGCAGAAACTATGTCAATACAGCAGACAGGATAAGTGGCGAGACACTTACGCAACTACCAAATTTTCCTTCATGCGAACAATCTTTTTAAGGCAGACAGAACATATTGATCCATAAGGTTCGAGTAAAAATTTCATTATCGTATTTGAATCAAGTTTACTAATCAAATCAGCATAAAGAAGGAATATTAGAAGGGTACCTAGTTTCACTATAATAAATTGTCCATATTCTACTTTACACTATTTCACCAATTATTCGGCATTGATTTACAGTGGCAAGAAAATCAACCCACTTAAACAACAGCTATATTTACACTGCATAACCTCAATATCCCATACCACAACATCTCTAACTACACAAGCACAAATTGCAAACAAGAGTAATTGTGATGACAATACACCCAANAAAATACCTGAATAAGCCATGCATTTCATTGGCCCTCCTTGTTTCCACAGCCTTCATTACCTTGAGAACTCCAGATTCTTCTCTCTGGAGCACAATTTCTCGTGGATAAGTAATGGCGAGCTCCCCAAGTGGGCCCTTCACTTTGAAATCTTGGCCGTTCATCATGAGGGTCACACTAGACGGCACCGAAATAGGCTGCTTCCCGATTCTGGACTCCTTGCACTCTACATTCTTCCTCACAGTACTAACCTGAGGCTTAGTGATCCCAGCAAAACGAAGCCCGTTCGCCTCCCCAAGAAAAGGGCACCTTAGGTAACTGATTCGGAGGAAAAATGCAGGTCCCAACAGCCTCAGAACGATTGAAAAACTTTCATCTAGCTAAATAATTTCTGGGTTCAACAAATCGAAGTGTGAGGTTTTGGAAATATTAATTACCTGGATTGTATAGAAGCACCCACTGTAGATGCCATTGCACAAGAAGAGTACCCAATTTCAATGCTTCTCAGTGTTCAAGCTATCTGCAGCAGAAAAAACACCCAAATAAGATTCTTTCTTGTAGCAAATTCCCCTAGCTGCAAATCCTCAAGATATTAACTTTCTGTTGAATTAATTTAAGGTACCCCAAGAAAATGTATAGAAATTCAACATTTCATTGCATATGAAGGGCATATTCATTTATTAACTTTTCCGAGCTCCCCCTATCAAAAAATGCCATAAATATACAATCTTTTTCAACATTTTGCCTACAAAAAAGTATCGTTTTACAAATGGTAGCAGTCAAATTGTAAGCTGTTCCAGTCTCAGAACAACATCATCCATGGGCCTTTACAGATTTCGATATCATTATCCCTCAAAGAGAGCACCAAAGAGAATGTATAATCTTGCCCCAAAAGCTAAAAAAGGGAGAAAAAAGAGCCTCTAATGAGCCAAAAGACAGATAGAGTGTGTAGCGAGGAGAGATTCCATTACCTGAGTTGAGTTGAAGAAACGTAGCCGAGCTGGGAGAGGGATTGTACAGAGAAGCTAGCCGGTTTTTGGAATTTCACAGAATTGGGATAAGGTGACCAAAAACATTTATATATTTTAGAGGATAAAAAAAGAGGAAAAGAAAAAAACAATTTTTAGGTATTTTACCATATTATTATAGTTGTGTATTAAACTTCTCGAAATTAGACATGTCAAAACGGGCTCGCAGGACGGGCCGGCCCGCCTAGCCCGCGGCTCACGGCAGGGTTGGGCCGGGCTTCCCTTTCACAGGCCCGTCGAGATGGCGGGCCGGCCCGCCCTTATTAAGAAAAAAAAAAAATTAAATAAAAACTTGGGAGCCGGAGCAGTGCACTGGAGCAGAAAACGTAGGAAAAACATGGAGCACATTACACATTAACCATTTAATTAGGAGAAGACAACATTAACAATACACATAACATATAACATATCACATAACCAAGTCCAAGCCCATTCATGATTCATCAATACAAGGCATCCATTAAAATCAAAGGATTCAGACTTCACAGTTCAAATTTCGAAAATTAAGATCAAATTATCAGAATTCATGCTCAATAAACCAAAATTAATTTTCAAGTTCAACCATCATTACCGGAAGCTGCCTCGCCGCAAGAAGGTCTCGCCGCTTGCCGTCGCCTCTTAGAGTCACTCGCCGCTCCAAGGTCGCCGCACGCCGGCTTGAAAGTTGAGAGATTAGCTGATTAGGGTTTACGTGTTATGCTCTGGTCCTTTGCTCTGCCCGTCTATTTTGAGGATAGGAAAATCGTGAATGCACAGAATGGATAACTGAGAGACGTTTGTGTAATACACAATTTTTATTTTTTTTTACACTGACGGGCTGGCCCGCGGCCTGTCTGGCCCGATCCGCCAAAACCCCCCGGCCCGCGCGAGCCAGCCCGGACCGGGCCTTTAAAACACTAGCCCAACCTGCCTATTAAGTGGGACTATGGGAGGGGCGGACGGCCCGCGGGCCTAGGCCCATTTTGAGAAGTCTACTCGAAGTACTATAGTGCATCAAATTTTAATGAAATATTATTTTCATTATGAAGCTATTATTTGCTTTACATTTTCTATTTCTAATGTTATATATTACAGTTTGATAACGTACTTCTCAATATAGTTTTTATGTAATTTTATAAAAATATGATTTTTAATGTGAAATTGTAAATTGTTTTTCATTTTTCAGTTATTTCTAATTTTGAAAATATTTCATTAACCTATACATTCATTATTTATTTATTTTTTTCTCCCTATTTTGTTTGCAGCCCAAATATTTGATCTTTTTGCAGCCACCTAAATGGTTTGAAATCCATAAATTGGTTCGGTTGATGGCTTGTCGACTTTACTTAGATAGACGTTGAAGGGTATTGAAGATCATGAAGCAGCTCTTGGTAAATGCATGAAACTTTTCCTATTCTATTTTGCATGATTTTAGTTTGCGTATTCTTTTTTTTTTTCTGTTTTAAGTTCATACGGTGTCGTTCTGGTAGGTGTATGTTTTTTTTTCTGTTTTAAGTTCTACTTAGTTTGCATGATTTTTTTTTTCTGATTAAGACGAACTGTTTTGTTTTCTTTTCATTTTATTTGGATTACATAGCATACGACGTCGTTCTGGTAGGTGTACACGACGTCGTTTAGATCGTCTTCTTGCATGACCGAAAGAGCTTTAAATGCTCGACCATGTACGTACTCCTATTTTGATTTTCTGATTACGAGCTAAGAAAATTCCCAAAAGTTTTGTTGTTGGTTAAATGAGAAAGTGAGGGTTTTACATAGTATCGAAAGCAATCGGTTCTGGGAGAACTTACTGATTGGAGATTAATGGCGACAAGGCGAGAAATTACAGGAGGATCTGGTGTGTGTCAGGATCCTTTCTTCCTTCATGGATCGGATAATTCTAGCTTGGTGCTCGTTTCACATCCCCTGACTAGCAGTAACTTCCTTTCATGGCGTCGATCGATGATGATAGCTCTAGGAGCTAAGAGAAAGCTCGGTTTTATCAATGGTGAGATCTCTGTACCTAATGTTGATAGTGATGAATATGATGAATGGAAAAAGGTTAATTGCATGATTTTATCATGGATTCTGAGTTCTATGTCCAAAGAGGTTGCCGAATCTTATGTTTATGATGAAACCTCTAAGGATCTGTGGGATGAAGTATGCTTGAGGTTTGGAGAGAATAATGGACCAATGAAATACAAGTTACAGAGAGAAATTAATACTTTAGTTCAAGGGAATTGTACCGTTATGGAGTATTTCAATAAATTGAAGAAGCTATGGGATGAATATGCTTGTGTTGTTCTTACTCAATTCTGCAATTGTGAAAAAGGAAGAATTGTAGCTCAGAATGATGCTGAAAACAAACTCATACAGTTTCTTAGGGACTAAATGAAGGATATGATATGATAGCTTCAAAAATCAAATCATGTTGATTGATCCATCACCGAGTATTAACAAAGCATATTCAATGGCACTCACAGCAGAAAGGCAAAGAACTGTGAGTAACTCTTTTGACAGAGTTGAAAATCTAACCATGAACACTAGAGCTGAAGGATATGGCAGAGGCCTAAATAATCAAGGGAGAGGTTTTGGTGGAAGAGGAGGAAATTTCACAAATGGAAGAGGTGGAAGAGGTTTTAATAGACTTACCAAAGAAGAAAGGGCTAAGCTGCTATGTGATAAGTGTGGAATGAGAGGACACACAGTTTTCACATGCTTTAAAATACATGGTGTTCCTGATTGGTATAAAGAATTGAAGACACAAGGGACAAACTATGCCAGCAATGTGGAACTGTGTGGTGATAACGAAGAATTGAGAGAGCCTGTGAACGATAAGAGAAGCTCAAAGGAAAGTGATCTATCCATTGTGGTCAAACAATTGCAGGAACTAACACAATTCATAAAAGGGAAGAAGACTGCAGTAAGCAAAGTGGATTTTGCACAGATGGTGAGTTTTACAAAGAACGAAAGTGATGATGAAATGCATTTTGCTTTGACCATTGCTGATGATGTGACTTGTGGTGATTGAATCATAGATACTGGAGCTAGTAGGCATATGTGTGGTGACTTCACTATTCTGAAAAATATAATACCTTGAAAGATTTTGTCACCATTTGTCTGCCTGATGGATCAAACAAGAAAGTGAATGTTGCAGGGGTAATATCTGTGAATAATACCTTAAGCCTGCACAATGTACTTTTTGTCCTTGGTTTTAAGTACAATTTACTTTCAGTTAGCCAATTGTGCTTAGATGAGAAGGTCAATTTTTTTTTTTTTTCAACAAGCTCTTGTCACTTATATCACTGTGACAGTGAACAACTAGTGGAAAAAGGGATTTAAAAAGGAAATTTGTACATTTTAAGCAAGGACAATAATGTACATGCTAATGTTGTGAAACATAAATTCTCCCTCGAACAATGGCATCAATGTCTTGGTCATGCCAGTATCAGCACCATGAAGCATATTCAGTTTCTCAAAGGAAAATACACAGATCAAGAGGAAAGAAACATTATATCCTGTGAGGTATGTCATAAAGCAAAACAACAAACGCTTCCATTTCAAAGCAGTTACATACATGCTACCAGAATTTTTGAGATGTTGCATGCTGACATCTGGGGACCTTGCAAAGAAGAAACTATGACTGGAACACCTTTCTTTTTGACTATAGTGGATGATCATAGTATGGGTATTTGGGTATTCTTGATGGAACAGAAGTCACAAGCTTCTAAATTGTTGAGTGGCTTTGTGTCAATGATAGAAACTCAGTTTGACACCAAAGTCAAGAAAATAAGGACAGATAATGGGAAGGAGTTCTTGGGAAATGAAATACAAGCCTTTCTTCAAGGAAAAGGAATTGTCCATGAAACCACTTGTGTGTACACACCACAACAAAATGGTGTGGTTGAAAGAAAACATAAGCAGCTACTTGAAATTGGAAGGGCACTGATTTATCAAGCACAATTACCAATAAAGTTCTGGCCCTATTCTATACAAGCTGCAGCACTTGTCATCAATAGGTTGCCTAGTGCTCCTCTACAGTGGGCTACACCTTTTGAGAAAATTTCTGGAAAACAATCAGATTATGCAGATTTCCGGCCTTTTGGATGTCTAGCATATGCCACTAATGTTCATCCTTTCAAGTCTAAATATGAACCTAGAAGAAGTAAGTGTGTCTTTCTTGGTTTTGCTCCAGGAAAGAAGGGTTTTCAGCTTTATAATGTGGATACTGGTGTATGTTTCATTTCCAGAGATGTGATCTTCTTTGATGATGTCTTTCTTTACATAACACATTACACATCTGAAACTGTCATGCCAAAAGCCATAGAAGATGAACATTCAAAAGTTGAAATAGTTACTGCACCAGATGAAGTTCATAGTACTGACAGTGTTGAAGGTCTGAGAAGGAGTGAAAGGTCAAGAGGGGCACCAAACTGGCATCATGACTATATTTGTGGACATTTATTGACCTCAGAAAAGGAATTCTCAGCCAACATTTCCCTTGACAAAGAACCTATACATTATAAACAGGCAATTCAACATCCTTCTTGGGTGGAGGCCATGCAAAGAGAGTTAGATGCTTTGGAAGCCAATCATACATGGGAGATTACTGACCTTCCACATGGAAAGAAAGCAATATGAAGTAAATGGGTATATAAAATCAAAAGGAAGGCTGATGGGTCTGTTGAAAGGTTTAAGGCCAGACTTGTGGCTAAGGGATATAGCCAAATAGAAGGTGTCCATTATTTTGACATTTTCTCACCTGTGGCAAGGTTAGTTCCAGTCAGATTTCTCATTGTTGTTGCAGTACACAAGGGCTGGCCCATTCATCAGTTAGATGTAAATAATGTTTTCCTTCATGGCACACTTTCTGAAGAAGTGTTTATGCAGCCACCTTTGGGCTATGAGAAAGCAGCTCCAGGGAAAGTATGTAGGTTGATTAAGAGTCTCTATGGACTTAAACAGGCATCAAGAGAGTGGAATAATGAACTCTGCACTAATCTTTCTCACTATGGCCTTATTCAATCACACTATGATCACTGTTGATTTACAACTACCAAAGGGACAGATTTCTTGGCATTGTTGGTCTATGTAGATGATGTTCTAGTCACAAGCTCATCCCTATCTTTGATTCAGAGTGTAAAGCAATTTCTTGATGATCAATTTACTATCAAATATCTGGGAATTGCAAAGTTTTTTTTTGGCATTGAATTTGCTTATACAACCAGAGGGGTTTCTTTGTGTCAGAGAAAATATATTATGGACATCCTTGTTGATATGAACATGATGGAGTGTGCAGCTTCTCCTACACCTTTACCTTTGGGTATTAGGTTAATGGCTCACAGTGGGACAGCCATGCAGAACTGGATTTATTTAGGAGACTCATAGGGAGATTGTTATAACTTGGGCTCATTAGACCTGATGTGACTTATGCTGTCTAGCAGCTAAGTCAATTTGTCACCACACCTCATGATTCTCATTGGCATGCAGCTTTACATATATTGAAATATTTGCAGGGCTCTCCAGCATTGGGACTGTTTTATCCATCACTCTCAACATCTTTCTCTCTTGTTGCCTACTGTGATGCTGATTGGGCCACTTGTAAGGACACTAGAAGATCTATCACTGGTTTCTGCATTTTTCTTGGAGATGCACTCATCTCTTGGAAAAGTAAGAAGCAACATACAGTGTCCAAATCTTCAGCTGAGGCTGAATATCGAGCTATGGGTTCCACTGTTTCTGAGTTGATGTGGCTGCATTACCTTGCTTAAGAATTTCAGCTTTCTATCATCTTTCCTATTCCTTTATGTTGTGATAACCAGGCTGCCATGCACATCACTACTAATCCAGTGTTTCATGAAAGAACCAACCATTTGGAGATCGATTGTCACATTGTGAGGGACAAATTCAAGCAAGGTTTTATTCTCCCTATGTTTGTTGCTTCTTTACACCAACTGGCAGATCTCTTCACCAAATCGTCACTGGTAACCGGTTTGCTGCTCTTGTGTGCAAGTTGGGCATGACTGTGGTCCATCCTGGCCCAACTTGAGGGGCGGGTGTTGAAGATCATGAAGCAGCTCTTGGCAAATGCATAAAACTTTTCATGTTCTATTTTGCATGATTTTAGTCTGCGTTTTCTTTTTTTCTGTTTTAAGTTCATACGGTGTCGTTCTTATTAAGACGACACCATTTTGTTTTCTTTTCATTTTATTTGGATTACATAGCATACGACGTCGTTCTGGTAGGTGTACACGACGTCGTTTAGATCGTCTTCTTGCATGACTGAAAGAGCTTTAAATGTTCGACCATGTACGTACTATTATTTTGATTTTCTGATTACGAGCTAAGAAAATTCCCAAAAGTTTTGTTGTTGGTTAAATGAGAAAGTGAGGGTTTTACAAAGGGGATCATTGTCGAGATTATTTGGCTCGAGTTAGGATATTTGGCGATCTAACTATGCTTGAGCTAATGTGGTGTATCAAGATATTTGTCGAGAATAATTAGACTGTGAAAACTTTTTAAGGAAGCGAGATATAATTAAATAAGAAAAAAAAGTAGCATGTCTTGAAGAGATCTCGCCAGATTTGATGGGATGTTAAGCATATATCACAAACGTTGAAAAAAAAAAAATCTAGATGCAAGTACTATACTCCCATGTGTAGCAGCATATAGAGTTTCATATGAAATATATGAACTTATTTGAGTGTCAAGAGTGTTTATATCGGGACTCCCTTTTAACACTTTTGCATATCATAAGCAAGAAGTCGGTTTGTGAAATGCAGAGCAAATCTAGCATAACCTATAAATTCTTATCAATTAGAAACACTTCAAATTAGGTTAATAGTTTGACATATGGAAAAAAAAAATGTAGAATAGAGATTTAAATTTGAAAATTTTATCATTGCTTTCCAAGGTAAAAAGAAGAGGGAAAGGAGAAATTACTTCAAATAAGTGTATGGATTGTAAATAGCAGGCCCAATATTTTGTGGGCTTCTGCTGGGCACAAAACAATTAACCATTAAACAACCCAAAATAAAGCCCATGAAAAGTAAAAAATATAAAAATTATGATTCATCACGTGCAAGGCACATGCTGCTTCCCTCTTCCATAAACCAAGCGGTCTCCCTCACTAAAACCGGGAATTATCGAATTGCTTTGTGGACAACACGCAGAGGCTGAGTTATCGAATTTATCAAAATAGTTTGAGATTAAGCGGCGATTATCAAAATCAATGACTGAAGATTGTTGCCATAGGGTTTCATCATCGGAATCCGATCCATCAACGGCCAAGCAAAGGTGCGACGCTCTGTGTTGCTTTATTTTGTATGCCGTTTTTTTTTTTGTTTTTTCAGAAATATTCGCCTATTGTTGTGTTTTAATCTCTCGGAATCGAGCTGAAAACCTGATATGATGTATTGAATTGAATGGTGATTGGGAAGAAGAATTGATAACTTTGCTTGGAGAAGTGTTCCTCGGGGGAATGAGCTTAAGGTTAGGGAATGTAGTTGACGGCATCGTTAGGGCTAATTTGCTGTTTGATGAACATATTTTTGTGAAACTGATGGAAGTTCTTGTTTTTTACAACAATTGATTTACATTGAGATTTTAATTTACCAGTGGAACAGTTGCTTATTGATCTGAGATCTAAAGCAAAACGTTGAGACAGAAATGTCCGTTTTATGTAGTGTGGTAGCCCGGGCTCGATCCTTGGTCCATCCTCTAGGTTATGATTTCACGATTGATTTGCATTCCTTTACAGCCCAATGAATCCATTGATATGAATCTCCGAATTCTATAATTATCGAAATAAGAATGACTGATGTTTTGACGATTTTGGAAATTATAGTAGAAAAAAGAGGAAGTGGGATCAGCCGGATGAAGCTTTGGTTTCTGCTGGTGTAGCTGTTCCAGGGATCTTTCCACTGGCAAGTGTGGGATCCTTGGCCAGAGTAACTTTGCCTGTTGGTCCCTCTGCAATAGGTGCTTCTCTTGCAATCCCGTTATCTGACACCAGTGCTGCCTCCCTTCCAGCGCTTCAGGTGCCTTTACCACAACATGCTGCTGCAATTGTCCAAAAGCTAATCCAAGTATGTGTTTCTTATTTTGCTCTCCTTATTTGGCACATATCTTTTACACACATTTTTTACGGACATGGTTATGATTCTTGTTTGTGATCTTTTATCGCGCTGTGAAGGTTTTGTTGTTTTATAACCCACCAGCTAAAGTTTTCCTCTTCCAGTGCAATTGAAATTTTGTTTAACCGATGACTTGTATTTTAAATCCGAACAGCCGTTATTTTCTCATTGGATTTTTTAAATAAATTTGATGTTACCCTGTGAGCTCCAATTGGATGACACACTATTGCATTATTGAAGTGCAACGCCCATCATGATTCATGGCTTGTTATTGGGATCATATCAGAATTGTGGGGGGCGGGGGCGGCAGGACCCAATTTAGTGTTATCTATTAAGACCCACATTGTGACCTCATTTTTTTAAAATTTATTTTCAATTGAGTATTTTCCTTAACATTATCACTAATATAACCTAATATACAAATAGGTTTTCAGGTCCATTCACGCTTTTTAGGCTGTTGTCCCACATTTATTCTCTTGAGTTTTTTTCGTTTAACTTCTAAATACTTAACTTGTAGCCAAAGATCCAAGATGAGTTGATAGCACGAGAAATTGTCATAAATGATGCTGATTCTGCTATTCGTTATAAGCTAACGAAGCGTCAAACCCAGGAAGAGGTAATTTTAGAATTTCTGTTTTTAAATCCTCTCAAGAAGTGAACAATAGCTATGCGCATTTTTATTTTATTTTATTTTATTTTTTTTAGTTGACAAATTATTGGACACTTTGCAGATACAGAAGAGCACTGGTGCTTTGGTAATAACCCGGTATATGAGTTCCCCATTGATGATTTTCTTGGTTTCTTCTTTTATTTTATCTACTCCTCCTATCCTGTATGGTTCACTTCTGAATTGAACTTACAGAGGGAAATATCGGCCTCCAAATGCCCCACCTGATGCTGAGAGACCTCTATATCTTCATATCTCTGCAGCTGCACATGTAAGTAATTTCAATTTTCTGCATGGTCTGCAAGTTACGAAGATGAGTGATAAAACTATTTATAACTTTATGCCTGTGTGAATCCTTGTAAATTTACCTTATAAAACTACTTACTGAAGGGCAATATACCAAACGCCAGTAGTTTGATATTAGATTGGAGTACATTGCTCTGCAGATGGGTTTGATTCTGTGAAATGTTCCACCACTGGTGTTTAAGAGCCTGTTTGTGAACTCTTTTCACAACGTGTACCGCCTTAGATATTTTTGTTGAAAAGCTGGTTTACATGTGGTACTCCTGATTTGAGTCATTCACTTTTCTGTGTTTCAACATCATTTACGTGCCCCTTATGATATTATTATTATACGTATTTTGATGTTGTGGCTTTAGTTGGAAACAACTGCAGAACGAATCAAAGCAGTTGATCGTGCTGCTGCTATGGTTGAGGAAATGTTGAAACAGGCAACTGTTAGCAGTGGAGTTAAGGTATTTAAACTCCTGAGAGAAACTGGAATGTGCATAATTAGGATTCATTGAAAAACTTAGCAAATTCTGTGCCCCAGGTGGATCACTCGTTGAGTACCTGTGTCTTCTTGGGATTTCAGCCAGATCCATCGTTGGACATCATCTCTCGCATCCGTGGCCCAAATGTGAGCTTTTCCGTATCCTTTTTTTTTTTTTTTTTTTTTTTTTTNGTTTTTCATTTGTCTCCTCTTACATGTTTCTCATTGTTCCTACTGTTACGTCTTTCTATCTCTTTCCTCTCTCTCTCTCTCGCTCTCGCTCTCTTTGACTCTCTCTTTGTGGTGGTATTGGTTGTAATTTACTCATATCATGGAGGATGGGGACATAGAAATTCTTTTATCATTGACTTCTGCTCTTTTAATTACTAAAAAACATTTCAATCTCTATCGCTCCTTTTATTAATAACCTCTCCTTGCTTGCTCCTTTAAAAATAAGTGACATCCATTACCTACGTTTGTTGTCCCCATTCATCACCACTCAAAAACACTCCTGCTATAGTAGTGAGAGAAATACTAAAAGACGGAAGTTAATTAATCATATGTCACACCACATATTGCTAAGATTGTGAATCTATTTGCCCAACATTTTCATACTTGTTTGGTTTTGGTCCATGACTTATGTTTGTCTTCTCATATCGAAGATAAGAGATTCTAATGTTTGAAGCTGAAATCTCCACACAATCTGGAGAGATTCTTTTTTGTTGTTGCTGGTTGGCTTTTGTAATGCAGGACCAGTATGTAAACCACATTATGAATGAAACAGGAGCAACCGTCTTAATAAGGGGACGAGGTTCTGGGTTTCCAGAGAATGGGCAGACTGAAGGTTGTAACTGTTGTATTAAATTAGCATTTGCTCTTCTTTTATGTTCTGACCAATTGATAATCCTTTTTCTTCTGCTTTATCGTGTCTGTAGAAACACAACCACTGCACCTGTTGTTATCAAGCAACAATGCAAAGAGTCTTGAGCATGCAAAGCTATTGGCAGAAAACCTTTTGGACACAATTTGTGGCGAGTGTGGTGCATCAAGGTACTAGATATCGTTGATGCTTAGAAAAGATAAACTGGGGATTTTCAAAATCATGAGATATGCATGCTTGTATATACTATCTAGAGTCTCTTCAGTGTCATATATTTCAAGAATATTATTGAATTTATGGTTGATACCAAGTGCCCTGTTTTGTCTAAATAAGACTTTGTTTAGTTTTGACAATTTTGTGCTCGTGTACCGAATTGTTTGACTCAATTTTGATCTATTCTCTAGTTTCAGAATCTTTGCATACAACTGAAAAAGGAGAGTAGTTTGGTGTTCTTTAAGTGTATATAAGATAATAGAAATATATTTCCTGGAGTGCATGTATTTCTATCTTAAACTTGAATATTCACCTATTTATGGGGGATATAAAGTTTATCCCTTTGTCGTGGTCTATATGTCATAGGATATCATCATGTAAAGTGTACGGTGCTGTTCCACCTCCGCCTCAATTGCAAGCTGGGATCCAGATTCCAGCTAATGTATCAAAAGCGACTGATGTAGCTGCTATAAATGCAACTGCTTTGGGTGGTGTCAATAGCATTCCCTCTCAGGGCCAGCTATCTCAATCTCTTGGAGTGTCAATCCCGATACTGCCTCAAGAAAAAGTTGCTTACTACTATCCTCAAGGGTTGACAAGTGTGACAAGCTATAATGGTTATGGTGGAATATATCCTCAGGCCACACCTTTGCAACAAGTTGCATTAGCCCTTAGGCAGTCGGCTTCTCCAGTAACTGCTTCAGTTGGTCCAACTACCATTGCGGTAAGCAAAGATCCACAAACAGAAGTGCCCTCTCATTCAAAAGATAAGCGTTCCCAGAAGCGGAAGTTTCAAGAATTACCTGCTGCTGCAAAAGGGCCAGAAAAACTGAATCAGGTATATAAAAATTTAATTAGGCTGATATCAGTGAGAATTGAGGGAATATTGTTGGCTTTGAACTGCCAGTAGCTATTGGTATAATTTGATTAATGGTTTTGTAAAATTTTCAGTTGTGTCTTATACAAATAGTTCTCTACCTGAAAAAGTAATTTTAGGAATTCGTTTGTGTCGTGAAGGAGTGTGGCCTATTAGACATGTCTTTTTTTTTCTCTCTCTTTTATTATTTACTCGATTTTGGGTAGGCGGGTGGGAGTCAGTTGGATGTGGTGGGTTGGTATTGAGTTGGATGAGGTGGGGTAGGAATCAGTTGAATGGAGTGGGGTGGCTGGGTCTGACTAATGATTCCAAAACTTGGATTCAGTGTAAGTGATGATGAACTAAAAATAGTTGGTGGAATTCATCCTTGCTTAATTTGCACATTCTTTCCTAATGGTTTATTGGTTGCAAAATGCTAAAAATACGTATTGATTAACAACTGATGTATACCCTTTCTATGTTTTGTGCTGATGTTTATTCCTACTTATTCCAGGTATTTCACTGACCTTCTATGAAGCTTACAGGCTGATACTGGACCTCTGTGTGGGGCATTTGTATGTTTCACAGGGTTTTGAATATTATTTAAGGTGGCAAGAGATGGCTGCTTGCCATTTCACGACATTGTTTTACACTTTATACATAGGTTACTGGTTCTGATATTGTTTGCTATTGTTTTCTTATCTGTTCATAGTTTCTTTGCAACCCCAATGAGCTGCTTGGAGTACTGTTGTATAGAAATGTTGTTTTTCCTTCCTTCTCGTAGAAAATCTTTCCTCCCCTGTTTCTCGAATTTTTACCTAGTGATCGAAAGTCGAGTTCTTAGATATCCACTTAGGATACATTAAAAATAAAAAGAAAACTCCTATTAACCAAGTCCTAGCTCTACCTGTTATCAATGCACGCATCATTCTCACTCTAATTCCTTCCTGATCTTCCATCATGGCCAATTGTGCTTGCTGCGTATTTCTGTTTTTGCCATTTTTTAGCATGATTTACTGATTTGTTGAAGCATTTCCTTATTACCTTAGACATCACACCATGCATCTGCTAACTTTATGGATTTGGTATTTATCCTCTCCCAGAAGAATATACAGGAATCAGAATTTCCAATGCCACGTGAACTAACATCACATGTAGGTGCAAGACCTAGAGATATTTCAGCTGTTGAAGATCGTAAAACTTTTGTCAAGCCGTCACCTCGAGAGATGCCCCCACCTCCTCCCAAGAGCTTATCACCGACCTCTCGTCCTCCAAAGTTCAATTTGGCTCCAAAAGTTCATGGAGACCAGAATGGGACCCATGCATCAAAATCTGAAGTTGTTCCTGGTAATGTTTATTCTATTTTTCTCGGACTAATGTTTCTATTATAGTTTGGAGAAAGCTCTTGTCTAGAATTTGAATTTTCCTTTCTTTTTCACTGTATATTCTTTTTTCAATGAAATTATCTCATGTTTGAAACTAATGCGACATCAGATACCTTAACCAAATTGATGGAATATGGAGATGATGATGATGATGATGATGATGATGACAAAATCGAGAAAACAGCCAAAGTGCCCTCACAGAACCATTCAAGCTCATCGGTTATGCCAAAACCTTTCTGGGCTGTTTGAGTCCGAAGTTGAGTCGTGTTTAAGCCATCATTTTTTATTTCCCGTTTAGAGCAATCTTTTGTGAAGAATTAACTTTGGTGTTTGCTTTGAGGTGGGCAGCAATTTACCGTGCTTGGTCCATAAGGCCTAGTAGCATATGCCTTGGTTGTAAAATTTATGAATCAAATACTTGTTTCATGAATAATGTTGTATTCACTGCTTGTGGATCAGGTAGGCAGGTTGTGCTTATTGTCATTTTTAAGTTTCATAGTTAATCATGAACAAGCAAACAATAAAATGACAACCGAAATTAATAAAAAATTTATCTGTTTGTTGAAAAGAAATTAATGAGAAGTTGTGTGATAGCTGTTGTCATTTATTTGTTCTCTGTATCTTTCTAAATGAAAATAAGGGTTGAAAACAAATCGATACAGGAATAAGATCATAGAAGTAACGATATATTTCCTCCTGCCAATTTGTTGTAAACACTTCCAATTGGCAAATTCTACAAATACTATACAAGGCAAATTATTTTTCAAAAAGACATCACAAGCTACAAATTTAAATTTATAAATTCAACATGAAATTCACAGCAGAACCATGCTTTCAAGCGAATAAAACCCCAAGCAGAACCATATGACATCCATTAAGTCTTATCAGTAAAGATCCAGCATTCTCAGCAATAGACACGAGAACATGAAATACCAAAGAACAAAAAAGGAAGGTGAATTATTAAATTACACCCAAAAGTCTGCATAAGAAGATGAGAAAAAGGAAAAACCGAGCAACACAATTTCACCTCTTAACTCCTCTTAACTCCTGGTATTTGCATAATCATCCTCATCCCTGCTATTCTCACCTTTATCAACACCTCCAAAATCATCTTTTCCATCCCCAAATTCGCCAACATCATCACCCACCCATTCCTGGTCTCCACCATGGGCCCCACCCGGCCCATCATTCAAAATGGAGCTTAAGCTCGGAGAACTATCAGAATAGCCACCACCTCCTTCACCACCTCGCAGAGAGTTGCCGCCACCATAGCCACCACCGGAATTTCCGCCGGAAAACTCGTTTCTGCCACCATAGTCGGCCCCTGCCCCACCAGCATAATTTCCGCCACTGGAGTTGCCGCCAGAAAACTCATTGCCGCCGTCGCCTCCACCACCGCTGCCCCACCCAACATTGCCGCCATAATTGCCATCTCCACCACTGGAATAATTGCCACGTGGATATCCTCCGGCGGAATAATTGCCACCCTCCCAGCCGCCACCACCGCCAGAATTATAACCGCCGCCACCATAGCCTCCTCCACGATTTTTTTCGGTAGCATAGTTCACCCTGAGCCTCCTCCCATGAAGTTCCTGAATAGTTCATGATTAGGACCTCTCATATGTGCATTAAACATCAAACAAGTCTTGGATTACACTCGGAAAAGATAACTTTCTTGAGTTGTGTTACCAATTACTATAGAAGTTGGAACAATTTTTAATCTTTCTAGGCATATACTTTTTTCGTCTAAAGCTCAATAAAGGTTATAAATTTAATTTGTGAAGTCAAAGAGGATCCAGTCTCTTTTTTCTCTGCTGGAGTAGTTTAGTTATTTCAAGAATGAAAAATTAGTAAGCACATATCAAATTTCCACGAACGAGTGAATAAAAAACTGAAGTGGCTTAAGTAAAGTACCTGGCCGTCGAGTCCCTGGATGCAACTGGAAGCTGCCTCGGTAGATCTGAAAGTCACAAAGCCAAATCCACGAGAAACACCACTATCACGGTCGATAATAATTTTAACTGCAAATATTTATATAGGACCAGGTTAAAAAAGAATGACTGCTAGAATACCTAACTATTCCTCATTTACTAAACATTATAATATAATCAGAGTCAATATCACATTCACCATATTATTATATTACAAAGCAAAGGGAGAGAAAAGTTGAGAATTGCAATTTGACTAAACGGGTTTAACAACAATACCATACTCAACCTCCCCATAGCGAGAACAATGTTCCCTTAGAGACTGGTCGTCCACTCGATAGTCGAGACCTGCAGTAAGATAACAGCGTAGTGTCCAAAATGGAAAAATATGAATAAATAGATAGAAAGAATCAATTCAACATAGAGAAAGAAAGCCCAAACCTCCAACAAAGAGCTTTGTGCCTGCAACGAAGCTCATGCTCCTTATTGCCTGAAAAAGTGAAGGGTTTGAGGAAGAAGATGCTGACGTGATATGTTTGCTGACATTACTTTTTAGCAAGATGCCAACTCTGTTCAGGAAAGCCATTGTTGTACCTAGTACAAGTGCCCACCAAAAAACAAAAATAAAAACACAGGGGATAGGTAAAGGAAAAAATGGAAGGTAGAATGAGTGGTGCAAGCAAAGGCACCAAAAATCTATACATTACGCTATATAACATGCAGGGTTCAAACAGAACTATAAGACATCGATTGAAGTTCAAGTTAGAGCTTAGCAAACTCGCAACTTTCATCCATCAAAATGAGTTAACTGGCTCAAATAAACAGTCAATCCCTAAATATCATGTGGGTTTTATAAATCATCTTATGTTTCTGATAAACTAAGTCTTATGTTTCTGATAAACTAAGCGCAACAAGGGGAACTGCAATAATTCTTATCTCACAAAGATCAAAAGCAAATCCCAATTTTGGAAACCCAGAAAAATCCGGGTGCTCCACGCAACGCCAGTCTATAAACTAACAGTCACACCCCAACAAGAGGACAGATGAATTACATCAAAAACAGTCATTTCCCATTTTATTCACAGAATCACACCATGAATATAACCACCAAAATACCACAACGAAACCATAAGATGCAATAAACAGAGAAAGATCATTTTTAACAGTCCGGACAATAAGTCTGTCCTCTCTTGCGCAGCTCATACTCTTAAAAACAAACGCAATAACATCAAACAAAAATGATTAAAAATAATATCCCCCACGAACCCTACACCTGATTTGAACACCAAAGATAGAAAACCGAATCAATTGCCAATGGGGAGCAGGAGATCCAAAGGAAATGGAAAAGGGTTTAGGGTTTAAGCAGGCGGGAGACGAAGAGAGAATACCCGACTAAAAATCAGATCTTTATTATTGTTTTCCAACACTGCGATAGTGTGTACGCAAGCAAGGGTTTTAGGCTTGCGAGTTTATAGAAGGGCGAATCTCGTCTGCGGGCAGGTGCACAGGTGATAGTGTGTATGCAGTTGATCAGGACGGTTCATCTCATCCCACATATAGAGGTTCATCTCGACTTCTTGTTCAAGTTTCCGAAACATTTTGACCTGGTGGGTCTGGAACCAACTCGGAACTGGCCCGACCCACCGAGTTTGGCAAAATTTTGAATTTCGAAATTCAAATTTAAAATTTTTTATTTGGTATCCAGTCTAATATGGAATCAGTAGGTCGGACACAATTTAATTACCACGGTTGAATTGTATATCCGTTGCAGGGTCAATGTTCAAGATTCACCAAGTCAGTCAAATTTAGGACCAACGGATCAACGTGAATACTTTTGTATTTTATATACATATAACATTTTTTTTAACCCGAAACTGGAGGGTCCGAAACAAAATGATCCACCGACGAGTTCTTGAATCGAAACCCCTGAGCCGAAAGTGTGGATATATCATCATAAGAAAAGGACCAAATATCGTAATCAACTAGGCCTTCATAAGTTGCATTGATGGATGTATTGTGTAACTCATGACAAATGCACTTATCATGTTAGAAAACTCATGTTAAGTGATCAACAATAGGACTCAAGCCCTAATTCTCCCTTTCATACTTGAGAAACTACAAGTAGAGTTTCTAACAAAAAAAAGATTTAATTCCATATAAAACCATGACCTTTGACCTTTTTGCAATTTAAACCAAACTACAAGTGACCTTTGACTTTTGACCTTTGTGCAAACATATCACGACTTTTTTAAAAAATTGCAACTCGAACCCAAATCTATTCGACGGCAAGTTTCGTGCCTATGTGTCCGGACAAGAGATAACACGCGTGATAACTCTTTGCTGACTAGGACGCCAGATGCTACACACAAGTATTAAAAAAAAACTAAAAAAGAAAGAAATCATATTTTCAAAAGAAAATAAATCTTCCCCAAAAACACACCATCGAACGTCCTTCAATGCCGCACTTGCCGGAAAACTCTCGTGCGAGAATTCCTACTCAAGCAACCATATCGCTCCAGAAGTACCTCCACACAGCCCCGTCGCCGAATGATCGTCTGGTACAAGTCCGACCATTCCAACGCTCTGCACACCAACAAACTAATTGCTCACGTCGCTGGTAAACAGCCCGTCGGAAATGCTCAAGCATGGCCCGGCCTACACTTTCACAATTCAGTGTCGTTACAAGACCTCAATCATGGCCCATGCGCCCTGTCGTGCCTGCCGACGACCAGCAACCGGGCAACAACCCATAGCCACAAAGACCAGTCATGGCAGCCCCTGTCGATCAGTCACCACTGCGTACACTTGCAAGAATCGTGCGACAACCTAGTTAGGGTTTTAGTGCAATTAGGTTTTCCAATTGGGGAAGAATTATTTTCATATGGGAAAGATGGTTTTTTTTTCTATGAACTTCTATTTAATATTTGGCGTCCCAGTTAGCAAAACGTTGTGACGTGTATTATCACTTGCCCGGACATGTAGACACGAAACTCGCCGTCGATCAGATTTGGGTCCGGGTTGCAACTTTTTAAAAAAGTCGTGATGTGTTTGTAATTACTTTAAAGTTTAGTTTAAATTGCAAAAAGGTTAAAGTTCATGGTTTTATATGCAATTAAGCGTAAAAAAATACACTTTTACAAATTAAGATGTACAAATACAAAACATAATGTTTTTTTTACCTCATCCTTCCATCACTATAGTCCCATACAACATCACATTTAAACTTCACCTCTTGTGTCCGAGTAACAATTCTGGGGACCTCTCAAAAAGTTCCCGAATGTAATCCTCCCAATCTTCGATCGTATACTTGACATCCTTAACGTTGCTAATGTTATTCTCAAACAACCCGACAAAAGTCCGGTAATACAGGACCACTATAGTAGAGGTCGAGATCCTAAGATCTTCCCTAAACTCACTGTCCCAGACAGACCAACCCGTCTGGCTCTTGTAAACCTCCTCAAATGCATGGTAAACCTCTTGCAGCTTCCCCTTGATAGGAGTCTGCAAAGGGTAGTTTGCGGGCAGTAGTGTCAGCTCCTTATGCCTCAGCAAAGCAAGAATTGAGCTCCAGGTGGCACGCTTGTAATTCATCACGTGCTGTTGAACCTGTCTATTGTGCTCATGTATCCAGTCGTCCCCGAGTACCATCCTAAGCTTGGAATTCTTTGCATTCTCTGCCATATAATGCACGTTGTTTATCAAGAAGACGTGCTGCAGGGCCTTGTCCCGGTACTTGCCCGATTTCTCTTCCAATTTGTGCTCCAGGCCCGACATCAAGGCCTTAAAGTGTCGGGCCATCAGCGACTCGTCCTCCCCTGGCGGGCCCTCGAGATCCCGAAGGACTTCGTCCAGGGTCTCACGGTAGTCCGTCAGGGACACGATGTTGTCCATGACGTACTTTGTAAGGGAGTGGACCCCACCCCCCGGCGGCAACGGGATGGCCGAGGCGGACCCCACGTAGCTCTCGAACTCAAGGAAGGCAGCCCGCGCACACCCGCCCAGCCGCCCGATGACATCCACACATTCGGCCCAGATGCACGGGCCGGGCCCACCGAGGTACAGAGCCACAACGTCAGGGGCAAGGCCCGCGAGGGCCTCACGCGCGTCAAGGATCTGAGTCAAATCCTCCGGCTTGGGGAGCCCGACGGCAATGGCCCTGGCAAGGGTCAGAAGGCAAAGGAAAGGAGCCCGGGACGACTCGGCGAAGCATGTGGGCCCCACCGTGGGCCCGAGGTCCACGAAGACATGGTCGGCCAGCAGCCTCTCGAACGCCAGGTGGACGCGCACAAAGAGCTTCACGGCCCGCACCCACTGTCGGGTTCTCGAGTAGAGCGGGCTCCACTCCATCTTCAACGCGTCCTCTAAGGTGAGCTTTTTCACCCTGAGCCTGAGAAGGCAATCGTGTAGCGCGTCTCTCTGAACATCCACAAACACCCGAGAGCACTCCCGACCGTAGTTCGAATCAAACATGAAATTGGTGATGCTTCTAAGGATCGAGATCACGTCCGGACACATCAGCTCGATGGCGGGGTCTTCAGGGGCCGGCTCTGCCTCGATATTTTCAACCTCGCTCGAGCAAAACTCAATAGGCTGTCTGTTATGCACCAGTAGGTGCCGGAATTCGTCCGCGAGCCGGGACATTAACGTCTCGAGAACTTCGTGGGCCTTAACCTGTAAGGTGTTGTTTGTGTTTGTTGGAATATTTTCCAAGGTGTGGATCAATTTCCGAGCTTGATCGGCTGCTTTCATATACTCGTGAGCTTCAGTATATGATTCATCCTTTTTCCAGTTCATGATTTTGTCCTGAATTTCGTTTAGCTGATGATTGATGGCGATGAGCCTGTCGTTTTTCTCTTCAGGCTCTTGGTTCTTACTTTCTTCCATTTCTACTACAGATGATGTAGCTATTGTGTAGTCTGCCATATCATACAGGAAACCTTTTTTTTTTTCTTTATAACTTAGGAAAGAAGAAGACAAGAGCACCAAATGGTTGTGATGTTGCCCAAAAATAAAATATCCAGCTCTTACCTTTATTGAATCAGTAAGGCTGCTACTGTTAAGCAAAGAGAACTTGATTTTTTTCTAGCAAATTTGCATACTTTCAAAAAAAAATGTTATATGCTGAAATAACAATATGAACAACCGACATTTTTGTAACGCGAGTACAGAGTACGCATATTAGAAAATATGTTTGATGCCAAAAGATTGGATTTGGGACATCTCACAACGAAATCTTAAAGGAAAAAGAAAAAATAAAAAAAATCTTGTATAAATGGCCGATCCAATGGAATTTTCCTCGAATCTTGCTTGGTTCAGAGCCAGCCAGCAAACCTTTGTTGATAATAATAGTCTATAGGTGATTATAGAATTTCTTTGAAGGTGCTTTTTTTTTTTTTTATTATTATTTGACCCTTTTTGAGTGTTGACCGTTGCTGGTCTTCGTGGAAATCTTAATACACAAATTTTTCTGTGTTGTGGGGCAACTTATTAACCAAATTTTTGGGTCTATGATTTAAGTATTAGGCGGTCAAATTCATCACATTATAATAATAAAAATATTCTATAAAATGTCATATTTTTGTTTATATATGTTGTTTTTTATAAAACACGATAATTTTGTATATATTTATTTTTCTTACTATTGGCTTATATATTTATTTTCTTTGTAATCATCTTTTATATTCTAAACCTCTTCACCATTCATACTGTACATATTCAATACATACCCCGGCCCTGACTTCGATTTTATTATATTTATTGTTTGAGTTCTTGTTTCTGAGTTAACCAATTTAAATTAATTTCCAACACAATATATATTTTTGTTCGAAAAATATGACAGATCGATTCACGCAATGTGATAAATTTGGATTTTGGGTTTACAAATTTTAATCGGTTAGAGCATCTTGATTACCAAACTGTTTATAGACAACTTTCATTTCTTGTTAAATCCATATCATACTGTAATGCATTCTCAGTAAGCAAACAGATTGAAAAATGAAAATTGCCATTTTCCAAAATCAAACCCAACGGTACAATTTCAGGCTCCAACTGGATCATGTGTGAAATGTTTTACAACATATGTGGGGACCGAATTGCAAATTCATGATTTTGGGAGGGGCTTCCCCTGCAAAAACGAATTGAACAACTGAAATGCAGCTCTTGGTTTGAACATAGGCACTTCGTGACCAGCCCCTCTCACTGTAGCAAATGTAAGCCCTTTATAAACTTCAGTCCATCCTCCTACCTAAGAAAATCATACCATTTTATAGTATAAGTATTATTATTAAAAAAATGTATTATTAAGAAATTTAATTTTTAATTAACTCACCTGTTTGTTGACATACCAAGGGTACCAAGGAATTGTGGTCTGTAGCTTAAGTTGTGCTAGTGAATATCTAGTTGCTGTGACTGGCACAACAGCATCAACATCTCCACTGAAATTTGTGCAAATATATATTAGTTAAATTAAGATAATTGATTTCAATTTTATTTAATCATTGCATTATTTATAGGAATAAGAAAGATCCAATTAAGTTCTATAGTTGTATTTTTGTTTACCTAAACACCCAAATTCTCAATCCAGCTGCAATCAATTCTCTATAGATTGGAAGGATTGAGCTTTCAGTGTCATTCCAATTCCTGTTCAAAGTTTCACTGCAATAACCTCATGATAATTAATACTGATATTAGCTAATTGTTAATTTCTAAAATATATTATATAGTCTTGAAAGAAAAAATTAACTAATTTTACCTGCAAGCAGTCCATTTGTATGGTATCCGGCCACTTGTGTTAGCATGGAGAGCTTTCTGCACATCAAGCCTATTATAGTAAATTTCCGCATACTTCTCCGTGCACGGATCGTAGCCCGATAGCTTCCTAAAAATCTACANAAAAAAAAAAAAAAAAAAAAAAAAATATCGATCGTAAGTTTCAATTAAGTATATAATTTTTCGTTTATTTAGGTCTCCTCATATACCGGACTTGGTCGATGGGGCAAGCGCATGTGGTGGTGACGGGTGGCACTACCGTCCGAGTTGTTGCACTTTGGTGCATAGATGTTGTACTGGTCGATATTCCCGAATTCTTGATCCATGGCATAGTAGTAGATGGTTTCGCACTCGTTCGACTCTTTCTGACTCTGAAATTCACACGTGCTCATCAGTTGCTTATGCGTCTTGTCGGAAATCATGGCGTGGCTCCACCAGAAGTCGACCGTGCCTAGGTTGTCATAGTGGTTGTCGGTCACCGCATTCCCAACCTAAAACGGGACAATATGTACCGATCACCGATCATGACATCATTTTTATAATCAGTACACAGTACGAAATGAAACATGAAAGTGGAATACAGAAATTTGATTTGATTAATATGGAATATAGTAGGTTGGGATTGTTTGATCAGGATAGAGTACGAAATGAAACGTGAAAGTGAAATACAAAAATTCGACTTGATTAATTTGGAGTATAGTAGGTTGGGGATAGTTTAATAGGGTAAAATTACCATAAAGCACTTGAAAATGGAGTATGAAAGTGGAATAAGAAAATTCAATTTGATTAATTGGAAATGTGGTAGGTTGAGAACAGTTTGAGATGGGTAAAATTACCATAAAGCCTTTGAAAATATGATATGAATTGGAATAAAGAAATTCAATTTGATTAATTTGGAATATGGTAGGTTGGGAATAGTTTGAGAAGGATAAAATTACGATAAACCCATGAAAATGGAATATGACGGTGAAAAAAAGGAAGTTCAATTTGATTGATTTGGAACGTGATACGTTGGGGGATAATTTGAGATGCGAAATTACCATAAAGCCCTTGAGGTTGATTTTGTGCTCGGAGTTCGTGTTGTAATTGACTATTTCTCTAGCGAGTTGGGGGACATAATGTCCAGCATAACTCTCGCCGGTTAGATAAATTTCGCGGTTTTTGTAGCGTGGAAAACGATCCAACCACCGGACGAGAAATTGTAGCGAGTCCTTGGCTGAGAATAATTAACATAAAAAAGAAAAGAAAAAAAAAAAAGAAATTTCCATTAGGTCACAAATCAAGTCTAATTATGCATGTAACTTTAACAATCATACAGTCTGTTGTCATACTCTAAAATACAAAACGGCCACTAATCATTAATCAAACTCGAGTTTTCGAACTCAATTACCGGTCCGAATATCTCCGGTGTTCAAGAGGTCGGAGGACCTGTTGCTGTAAGAAAAACCGACCCCAGCCGGAGTTTCCAAAAATAGCAAATTCGCTAATTTGTTCCAAGAAAACTTGTTCATGTACAAACGAGACGAGGTTTTGCTAATCCTGAATGGCCCAATTTCTTCAGATGCACCGTATGCCACAGAAGAGCATCCAGGACCTACACACATTTTTTAATTAAGTTAACAAATTAATTAATTAGTCCTAAGTAATTATAACTTAATTGTAATTTTTTTGTATATACAAATGAATGTTGAAACAAATACTAAGTTAGAAATAGTACTTAGTACAGTGGGGCATACTCAAGGATAGTTCCATGAAATATTTGCAATAGTGGTCCAAAAGTTTAGCCAAATTGCAATATAATGATTTATCATGAATGACTCATCTCTGTTCCAGCAAGCATGCTGACAAATTTATTATTGTGCAGAAAACTGTAACATGAGCTGAATGCTAATAAATGAAGATTGTTTTGGGTTGGCTCGCAGCATTTAATTTTCCCCAAAAAATTTACTAATTTACTATCACTCCATGCACCAATAATTTAATTAGATTTTTCTTTTTGCTAGCTTATTAAACGAAACGAGTCGAAGTCAAGCTCGTTTAATGCTTATTGGGCTTGAAAGATGGACGGGTTAAAACAAAGTTCAAAACTTTTAGCATAATTTAACAAATTTGTTAAAACAGAAACTCGGATCGTTGAGATTCGCTAACGAGTCAAATTCGAGCTTGTTTATTAGTTCGTCAACTTAACGAGCCAAGCATTAATTGCAAGCTTGCTTGCTTTTCAAATAAATTAAATGGGCCTGGCCATCATGTCCTAAATTTCATGTGTATGATTTTGATTAGACATATATTTTTAAATTGCTACCTAATTAATTGCAAGCTTGCTTGCTTTTTAAATAAATTAAATGGGCCCATCATGTCCTAAATTTCATATGTATGATTTTTTATTAGACAGATATTTTTAAATTAATACCTAATTCAAATCAAACACCTATGTCAGCTGTATCATGTGTAAATTGGACGGAAAAAGTACACTCAACACACAATTAGGTAGTCAAATTGCTGAAAAGTGGGAGAAAATTTAACTTTGGAGAATGAAAAACTAACTATTATAATTACATAACTTTTTAGTAGCCAG